AGCCAGAACATCCTCTTTAAATTGAAAAAGGAAAAATAAAAAAATCTACTATCAGCTTTGTTTTGACATTCCTGTGACTTACTTCGGTTGTTTTAAGAAATTCAGTTGGTTTACCCCCTTTTTGTTTCTGAGCAAATGTATGTATTTATTTGACAGAACATAGGAACTGATCCTGCCAACATGTCCATTTGTGCTTCATTTCACAACCATGAGTAATCCCCCTGCAATTAGCATATTTGCATGTATTTGGAGAATGAAGTTCAGTGTGGATTTATGTCTCCAGATTTCCTCTGAAATAACAGTGAGAGGCCAAGGACTGTACCTCACATTAACTGTGCAAACAAGCTGAGTGGTTTAGGACTCCTGCTGCTCCCCAGCCACGTATTTCTGCCTGCTACCAGATGCACCCTCAGAGCAGAGCTGCCCGACAGGAGTGCATCCCTGCCCTTTGCCGTTGCAGTTCGCAGCCCGGCAAAGCGGCACAAACCGCTTTGGACCAGCCGAAATGCGGGTGGACATGCCACTCGGCTCACTTTGCTATGGACTGTTGTAGAGCAGAGGTTGTGTTTGATGGACGGAGATGTTTTGAAATGTATTGTAAAATACAGATTACTTTCAGCTATGTTGCATACGAAAAGTACTTGTAATGTTTATTTTTTTTCTGGGTGACACAGGAGAACAGGAGGAATGGAGATTTCTCTGCTAGTTAAGGCTGTGTGAGATCTGGGTTTGAAAAGTCAATCTGCACACCTGACAAGTAAAGAAGAGTCACGAAACTATTCATGGAAACCTGCATAGACCTGCTAAATGTAACTTACACACTCTGGAAGGAAAATGTTCCTTTTAAAAAAAAATTATTGTTAAAAGCAAAGGCTTTGATTAATCTTTCTACATTTACATTTATAGAATAGCATGTGCTGCTTATGAGAAAAAAATGCTATTGCTTTTTCTCTCTGAGAAACTTCTGGCATCACATATAATTATTCCATCAGAATAACCCTGGGGCAAGAAATATATTATCTTTCCTATAGTAAGGATTAGGGGAGAGCTTCCTAACAGCTTTCTTGTATTTAACATTGAAAATACGGAAAGCAAGACCAAGCACTGGGAGCAGCAGTTCCCTTAGTGATGATACGGACATTTTGGCCGACGGGAGCAGCTCACCAGCTATAGGCAAGTATCTGAGGAAAGTTTCAGAGAAGCGTGGGCAGACAACCCACCTTGGTTTCTGGGTGCGGGGTGGAAGCTGCTGAACCCCAGGGCTGCCACAGAGGTGAAGAGAAGCTCGGCTGGATGTACAGGAGGAGCAGCTCCTGGTGCAGGAGCTGGGTGAGCTGTCTCTGACGTTGGTCACCCGTTGATCCCGAGGAAAGCAGCAGCTATGGGGACCTCCATCCCTCTGCAGGGGTTGCTGCTCATCCCTTCCCTCCAGCCTGGGCATTCAGTGTGCATGTGGGTGGGGGCACCCAGGCCTACACCAGCAGCTCTCCAACTGGTTAAAGGAAGGGAGTGTGGGGTGCATCCTGGAAATGGAGGGCAGTGGAAGAGGGCAGTTTGGGAAACACCTGCAGCGAGGAGCTGCCAACTAGTGATTCAGCAATATAGGATCTCCAGAGCCAGATCAAGGTCTTCTGCTGACCATGGGGTAAATATTGCAGTCCCTAATACCAGACTAAACTCTGCCATGGGTTTCAGTGTATAGTGATTTCCTTCATATCAACAAAAGTCATAATTGAACAATACAGGGCAAAAATTGACCATACAGTCCTGTGCTCTTGGTTACGTTCTTTTTGCTGTTGTCTCCTACTGGCACTATAATTAGTTTTAATCTCCAACTCGTGCTTGCAGCAGACTACAGTGCATGTTCTCACTCTCTATTGACAGACTCCCTCTGCTGGAAAATGGTTATATATGTTATCTAGCCATTTAATGATGATAAGTGAAATAACTTGTAAACAATGTATTTTGTAGCAAATATGTAATTTTTATTTACACTGTCCATAGAATTTTAAAAATATTTTGACCTCTTCCCTAAACACTGGCATGTTTCTATGACACACCCAGGCAGGAGTTAGGAGTTAGTTTTTATCATCATAGTTGGACTCTGAACTGTATAAAAAGCCACAACATTTACAGTAACCTTCTAATGCATTAATCCACTGAGTAAAGTTTTGTTTTCTTTCTTCTTCTGTAACTGGAATCAAGCCTTGAACATTTCCCCTCCGTAGTCCTAAAGGACCCTCTCTTCTTGACTTCTTCATCACGGATGACGAGTCTGCCACTGACTTTACAGAAGCATCTGGACACGACATGTTGGACAGGTTGGTTTCTTTAGCAGCCACTTTTGAATACACTGTTAAAAGCAAATGGAAAAGAGTGCTAGCAAACAGGATTTTAACGCAGGAATTCCTGTTATTTCCCAGGAATTTCGAGAGGTGTAGCTGATATATTTCCTTAAGAAATTAAGATCCCTGGTCCAAAACCTTTACTGAATCAATGATATTAAGGAAATGAGGATACTATTATTAGATGAAGTCCTGTTATCATCAGA